GTGCGCCACCACTGCCCAGCATATGATTCTTTAAGAAAATGTATTTGCCGGTTTCAAATTAATAGTCATCTACTTATAAGATGTGTCTTTTAGTATGTAATATACTTTCATCCATTTAAGGAAGTCAAAGAAGAGTTTGCATACGTTTCTTTCTGGAAAAAGACTTTGGTGAGAATATATTTCTTCTTTAGCCTAGCATAAATAACAAATGAATTATTTATTTTATAATAATATTTCCCTCATTCAACACATATCTACTATGTCCTAAATATTATTCCAGATATTTGAAAATATCTGAATATTTGATATTCTCAATATTTGAGAATACACCGAATAAAACAAAATGATCAATGTGCTCAATTAACTTACAATATAGCAGAGAGAAGTAGGAAAAAGTAAGCAAAAATAGTAATTTATCTACCGTGCTTAAATTTGAGAAGTGCTATGGGGTTAAGTAAAGTAGGATGGATTAAGGGGGATTGATACCATTAATATACTCTCTAACTAACACTGATGTTTCTTATACAACTTCTGGTGAATGAGATTAAAAATGTGGATTACATTGAGAAGTTGTTGGTCAAAATATAGAATTATAATTAAATAAGAAACATTGATTTTACAGCATGATTAATGCATTTAATGATTGTATATTATCATCTTGAAAAATTGTAAGAGAGTGGCTATTATCTTCTCACCAAAAAAGTGAGATCATGCATGTGATAATTAACTAGATTTAACCATATTACAATGTATGTGTCTTTAAAATACCACATTTTACATGCTAAATACAGAGATTCATGTGTCAAATAAATAAATATTTATATAAAGATTTTACTCCATAATGACAATATGAAACAAATAATTTTATATGCTACTCAAGACTAATGTGAGAATTCAATACAAATAAATATTTCAAATATTTAGAATAGTAACTTTCTGACTCTGTTCTTTTTCAAAATTCATTTATTTATTTATTTATTTTTACATCCTGACTGCAATTTCCCCTTTCTCTTCTCCTAGTCACTCCTCCACACCTCCCTTCTGCCTCCCAATCCCCATCTACTACTTTTCCTTCTCTGTTCAGGAAAGGACAGGTATCCCATGAATATCAACAAAACATGGCATATCAAGTTATAGTAAGACTAAGCAACTCTCCATGTACTAAGGCTGGGCAAGGCTATGCAGTATGAGGAATAGCATCCCAAAAGCCAGCAAAAGAGTCAGTGACAGCCCCTGTTCCCACTGTAAGGAGTCCCACAAAAAGACCAAGCTACACAACTGTCACATATATGCAGAGGGCCTAGTTTAGTATCATGCAGGCTCCCTGGTTGCTGGTTCAGTCTCTGAGCTCCTATCAGCCCAGGTTAGTTGATTCTGTGACATTTCTTGTGATGTCCTTGAACCATCTGACTCCTACTATCCTTCCTGCCTCTCTTCAGCAGGATTCTCCAAGCTCTGCCTAATGTTTGATGGTGGGTCTTTGAATCTGTTTCCAACAGTTGCTGGATGAAGCCTCTCTGATGACAATTAGGTTAGGCAGTAATACGAAGAGCACCTAGCAGGCTCCCTAGCTGTCAGTCTAGAGTCTGTGAGCTCCCACAAGCTTGGGTCAGTTATCTCTGTGTGTTTCCCATCAGGATATTGACCCCCCCCTCTTGCTCATACAATCCCTCCTCCCTCTCTTCAACTGGACTCCTGGAGCTCATTCATTTCTTATCTCTAGCCACATGGTGCTAAAGCTAATTTAAGCCCTCATTTTGCTTATCCTATCAGCAACATTTAACATAGCTGATCACTCTCCCTTCACTGAATTTTCACTTGACTTCCAGAACATTCTTTTATTTATGCATTTTTCTAGCTCATTGTTTATCTCTAAATACCTTTCTTAGTTTCTTGTCTTCATCCCACCTACTTAAAGTTGGAGTGTTTCATGATTACCATCAAATTTTTAGATCTGTATGCCTACCTTGGAGGACTTGTAGAATCTAGGAAACTAGAAAAAGACCATGGGGAGGAAAAAGAAATATCTTAAGATAATGGCATAGTAGAACACTGGTTATATGAAATGTGGGATAAGGGTAATGGAGGTTTAGGTGGAGAAATGGATGGGGGAATAGGCCAGAGGAGAGGGTAAGATATGGGATAACAAATACTAAGAATGTTTGGAGAGGCAGACATGGTGGTACATGCCTTTAATTCAGCACATGAGAGGCAGAAGCAGGCTGCCCTCTGAATTTGCAGCCAACCTTGTCTACATAGTGAGTTTGACACCAGTCAGAACTACATAGTGAGACCCTGAATAAAAAAAAAAGAATGTTTGAAAAGCTATATAAGAACCTATATTTATACATACATACATACATACATACATACATAGAGAGAGAGGAGAGAGAGAGAGAGAGAGAGAGAGAGAGAGAGAGAGAGAGAGAATATTCATATAAAAGTTTAGTTGGAGTCACCCTATATATACAGGGGATTATACTCTTTCTAAAATCCAAAGGTTGCCAAATAAAAAGCCCAATGCCAAGTGTGGAATATTTCCCCTCAGGTTGTTTGTCAGAGGTGACCAAAAAGTTCCCAAAACAATACAGGCTATTAATATTGCACTTTGTTGACAGGCAGAACTTGGTGGTCAGACTTTATCATTGAAGAAACCACATACTTTCATCACAGGACATAGAAAAATCATGTTGATGTTGATTGGAAGCTTCTTTCTTGGATGGCTAGGTTTCATAGTACCAGAAGGTACTATGTAATCTGCTGTGGGGGAAAAAATCATCACCAGTTTTACCTAGTTGTAAACTACAACTTCATACAAGATATGAAAATGGGCGCAATAGTGGCATAGATGTCATGGAGTTAATACACCACTTTCAATTGCATTTAAGGCCCACCCCATAGTACAAGACACATGCCTAACACTAGAGATCTGGCCAAAACCCATGGGTGGGGAGCTCAAGGGCTCCATAGTGAATCTACTATTACCATTTTGCTATATGGATACAGCATCAAACCTCTAACTTAGTGTCTCTCTACCCAGATTAGTGTACCTCTCATTTACCAATTACACATCTGACATTATACAATTATACATCTGTGAGTTATTATCTACAGTATACAAAAAAGCTAAAACACAAACAATCAAGAAAACAAATAAATTAAAATGGGGTACATAACTATACAAAGAGTTCTCAAAAGATGAAACCCAATTGAGTCAGAAACACTTGAAGAAATATTCAGCACCCATAGCCATCAATGACATGCAAATTAAAACTACTTTGAGATTCTATATTGCCCCAGTCACAATGACTAAGATCAATAAAATGAAGGATAGCAATGCTGGTAAAGATGCAAGGGGAATATTTATTATCTGCTAGTGGGAATGTAAATTTGTACAGCCACTCCGCAAGTCAGTGCTGTGGTTCCTCAGGAGGCTGGGAATCAATCTTCCTCAAGATTCACTCATGTACATATACTCAGAAGACTCTACAGCCCATTATAGAGATACTTGTTCATCCATGTTTGTTGCTACTCTACTTATAATAGCCAGAAATTGGAAACAGCCTATATGTCCATCAACAGATGATGGGGAATGAAAATATTGTATAGTTACACAATGGAATATTATTCAGCTGTTAAAAAAATAAGAAATTATGAAATTTGCAGGTAAATGGATGGAGCTAGAAAAAAATAATCCCGGGTGAGGTAACCCAGCCCCCAAAGACAAATATTTTTTAAAATATTTCTTAGTTACTTGTATTTCATGTGAGAACTCTGCTCAGCTCCATACTCTACTTTTAATTGGGTTGATTTCTTCTCAGTGTTTAAAATTTTTATTTTCATGTATATTC